ACAAATAGGAATGCCTGTGAGTCTTTGGTTCTAACTCAGCAAATGAAGTTTTTTTTCTTTTTTTGAGAAAGAGTCTCACTCTGTTGCCCAGGCTGGAGTGCAGTGGCACAATCTTGGCTTACTGTGACCTCCACTTTCCAGGTTCAAGTGATTTTCATGCCTCAGCCTCCCAAGTAGCTGAGATTACAGGCATGTGCCACCATGCCTAGCTAATTTTTGTATTTTTGGTAGAGATGGGAGTTTTGCCATCTTGACCAGGCTGGTCCCGAATTCCTGGCCTCAAGTGATCCACCTGCCTTGGCCTCCCAAAGTAGCAGGAAATGAAGTTTTTATTGAAGAAAACAGGGCTATAGCACAGGCTTCCTCATCATGTTAGGGCCGTGAACACATTTTTACCTATATTACTATCCAGGGTGGGCCACCTGGACCAGGGAACAGTGAGTTGGAAGAATGGATAGTGAAGCTGTACATAGAAAGTGATTTGGGATTGTGTGCGTGTGTGTGTGTGTGTGTGTAGGGGCAGATGGGAGGGTTGAATCAGGGGTGTGGGGAGAAAGTCAAATCATTTATAACCTTAAATAAACTAGTCTGGACTAATCAATTCTGAGTTTTAATGAAAATGACATGTACTTGGAGACTCAAGTGTAATTCCTCTAAGTGATCCCTCTGAAAATGACTATATATCACAAGTAGAAATTTAGAATATTAGCAATGGAATGCGTGTTTACTTTATTTAGTACTGGCAGTGGCATAGAAAATATACTTGAAGTTTCTATTGTCATAGTGCTTTGGGTTTACCAAATAAATTTACAAATGGGATATTACCTTATCTGATCTTTACAACAACCCCATGATGTGGCAGATGAAGAACAGGCCTAGTAAGCCTACACTGTGACATGCTGGGGATCACCGATCTATGTAGAAGGGGAGCTGGGCTTGAAGCCAGATTTCCTGGCTCCTACTCCAGCTTTTTTCTAGCTGTTTTGCAAATAAAAGTTCTGCATTTTACCTCTTACACAAAGCTGCAAGGAAGGGAGCAAACACCAAAAAATCCCCAGACAAACCAAAAAACCACCATTGGGACAAATTGAGATTTCACTTTGAGTTCGAGTTTTTAAACAAAAAATTCCAAACATTTTAAGGTGTAAGGTGGTTAGGTAAAATGCACTTCCTTGTGTTGAAGGAAAAAAGCTTATCTTAGAAGGTTGGTTGGATTACTTAATATCAAATTTCTTTCAATAAAACATCTTGTGGTCTAAACAAAGCAAAAAGCATAGGAATTCAGTTTTCCGTGAAATAAAAATGTATTTAAGCAAAAACGTGGAGCATCCTCCCCCTGCTGCCCCAAAACTCTGATACATTGAAAAACACCTTACAATGAGAAAAGCATTAAACTGTCGGGGAGCTGGATTCTGGCTCTAGCAGTGACCCTAACTGCCAGGAAACCTTGGGAAAGTCACTTGTCCTTTTTAAGATACAGTTTTCTCAAGTTATGAGCAATGAAGGGTGTGACCTAGATGATCCTCTAGCCCTAATATTTTAGGATTCTAAAATTGAAAATAATTCCATTAATTTTATAAACCTGAAATTGCTATCTTTTCCCCTTAGACTACTAAACCCACTACAATACATTCTGTAATTTTATTGTATCACAATAAAATATTTTATATATAGTAATTCATACTTAAAGTAAATATGTAGACTCTATTACTAATGATAATTGAAAACATTCTATCCGCTTAGTGAATGCTAATTGTAAAGAATCAGTGAAAAATGCATTTCTAGCTGAGTCGGTGCTCATGCCTGTAATCCCAGCACTTTCGGAGGCTGAAGCGGGTGGATCACCTGAGGTCAGGAGTTCGAGACCAGCCTGACCAATATGGTGAAACCCAGTCTTTAAAAAACGAAAAAGAAAAATGCATTTCTTTCCTCTACATTTTAAATGCAATGTTTACTTATTTATTCATTTATTCCATGAGGTTTTTTTTTTTTTTTTGAGATGGAGTTTCGCTCTTGTTACCCAGGCTGGAGTGCAATGGCGTGATCTCGGCTCACTGCAACCTCCGCCTCCTGGGTTCAAGCAATTCTCCTGCCTCAGCCTCCAGAGTAGCTGGGACTACAGGCACGCGCCACCATGCCCAGCTAATTTTTGTATTTTTAGTAGAGACGGGGTTTCACCATGTTGACCAGGATGGTCTCAATCTCTTGACCTCGTGATCCACCTGCCTTTGCCTCCCAAAGTGCTGGGATTATAGGCTTGAGCCACTGCGCCTGGCCTATTCCATGAGTATTTATTAGATTTATGAACCTATAGTCACTTATATTTTATTTATTTATTTATTATTTTTGAGACATAGTCTTGCTTGGTTGCTCAGACTGGAGTGTAATTGCAGTCATAGCTCTCTGCAGCCTCCAACACCTGGGCTCAAGTGATCCTCCTGCCGCAGACTCTCAAGTAGCTGGGGATATAGGAACACACTACTATGTCCAGCTAATTATTTGTATTTTTTCGTAGAGGTGGGGTCTTGCCATGTTGCCCAGGCTGGTCTCAAATTTCTGGCCTCAAGTATTCCTCCTACCTCAGCCTCCCAAAGTGCTGGGATGACAGGAATGAGCCACTGTGCTCAGCCTTATATTTTAGATTAGTATGTTATTACTATTCTACTGGTTTTGAAAACTATAGAAATACAAAATAGTATGACTTTGTCTTGGCACTATTAACATTTTGTCTTGATGATTCTTTGTTGTGCGGGGAGCTGTCCCGTGCATTGTAGGATGTTCAGCAGCATTCTTGGTCTCTGTCCATTAGTTGCCAGTAGAGAGCCCCCATTCCCTACCAGCTAGGGACAACCAAAAATGTTTCCAGCATTGCCAAATGTTCCATGGGGCAGGTGGGGATCGCCCTGATTAAGAGCCATTAGTTTAGTGGAAGCAGAATGGTGCTTTCAGATTAGAGAGACATGCATTGGAACTCTGGAGCAACATTTGCCATCTGTGTGATCTTTGGCAAGTTACTTAGCCCTTCAAGCCTCAGATTCCCCATCTAAAAATGGGGATAACGTCTATGACGGTTAATTTCATATGTCAACTTGACTAGACCATGGGATGCCCAGATATCTACTTAGATATTATTCTTGTGTGTGTTTCTGAAGGTGTGTTCTGAAGAAATTAGCATTTGCATTGGTAGACAGAATAAAGCAGATTGCCCTACCCAATGTGAGCGGGCGTAATTCATTCAACTGGGGACCTGAATAGAACAAAAAGGCAGGGGAAGGAAGAATTTCCTCTCTCTCTCTCTGCCTATCTGTTTGAGTTGGGACATTGGTATTCTGCTGTTGGATAGGGACTTAAAACCACCAGTTCTCCAGTTCTTAGGCCTTCAGACTTGGACTAGAACTCACATCATTGGTTCTTAGGTCTTCCAACTCGAATAGGAGCTATATAATTGGCTCTCCTGGCTTTCCAATTTGCTGATTGAAGATCTTGGGACTGGCTCCATTAATGTGAGCTAAGTCCTCATTTATCTATCTATCTATCTATCTATCTATCTATCTATCTATCTATCTATCTATCATCTTCTATCTATCATCTATCACCTATTATCTGTGTCTGTCTGTCTGTCTGTCTGTCTGTCTGTCTGTCTGTCTGTCTGTCTCTACCTACCTATCTCCTATTGGTTCTGTTTCTCTGGAGAACCTTGACTAATACAACATCTAATTCAGTTTTGTGAGAGTTAAAAGAAATGGTGTTTGTGAAAATGCCTGATAACTAGGAGATTCTAGAATTTTAATTCTTTCTTCTCTCATCTTCCAGATAAGTTGTGATTCTTGAATAAGCAGTTTAGATTCAGAAAAATTGTCCAGGGGAACATTAAAGTCCTGGCCATGCATTTAGGGTCCTTTTAACCCCAAGAGTCTTTCCAACATTCATCACACGTAGCAGTGGATTTAGGCTCATGGACTGCTACCCTATTTTCTTACAAATGGTACAACTTAAAGGGGAAGCAAGAATCATCAAAAGCATTGTACCTCATAGGGCTCATTTCTTTTTGGCTTTGTTTGTTGTAGCAATATGCATAGCTAATTAAATTTGAGAACATATTTCCCTTTTAATCTGCCTGCAGGATCTCACAAGTTCCCTTCATGTCCCTAAATCTAAATGTAGCTGAATGAATCAAAAGGAAAGTGTGTCCAGTTGTCCAGAGCTTGCATCATTCATTCATTAAATTCATTCATTGTGTGCTTACTAGACTCTGCCTAAGCATAGGGACACATAGTTTCTGTCTTAAGAGTTTCTGAGTGTGGAAAAAACTCAAACTGCTTTTCCTCTGCTCTCACACCACACTGCAGTCAACACAGAACACTTCTGTGACCAAATGTGGGGGATTTTTCCTCATCAACATGCAAGCAATCAATTCTGCAGCAGGCACCAGCTGAGTGTCCTCCAAATTAATTCTGACACTGTGTACCTGGAGATAGTGTCAGATCCTACAGGTTGAGGGCTCAGCCTCACAAGACATATTCCCTTTCCCAGATGCCAGTCACAAGACCAGGCCTAAGAACTTCTTACTGGTTTCAAGTTGACGTTCCATGACTCCCTCTTTGGGTTCAATTTATTTGCTAGAGTGGATCACAGAACTCAGGGAAACACTTACTTATGTTTACTGGTTTATAACAAAGGATATTACAAAAGATATAAATGAAGAGATGCAAAGGGCAAGGTATGGGGGAAGGAGCACAGAGCTTCCAAGCCCTTCCCAGCATACCACATTTAGGAACCTTCACGAGTTCAGTTATCTTGGAATTTCTTGAAACCCTGTTTCCTCAGGCCTTTTATGGAGACTTCCTAAAAGGATAGCCACTGTTGACAAGCACATAGAAATAGGTTTAGACAAAAAGGGCATGCTTTAGTTACTCAAAGGCTGAGTGGGGAAACCCAGCAAGGTCTATCTGTTCAGATTCTTTTTGGCGTCTTTTCTTTTCTTTTTTTCTTTGAGACAGGATCTCACTCTGACTGTGAGGCTGGAGTGCAGTGGTATGATTTCAATCTCCTGGGGCCAAGCGTACTCCCACCTCAGCCTCCCAAGTAGTTGGGACTACAGGTATGTGCCACCACACTTGGTTAATTTTTTTTTTTTTTTTTTTTTTGTAGAGACAGGATCTTCCTATGTTGCTGTTCTTGAACTCCTGGGCTCAAACAATTCTCCCACCTTGGCCTCCCTAAGTGCTAAGATTACAGGCATGAGTCACTGCACTGGGCCTCCTCTTGGCCTCTCTGTGCAACATTCCTTCCTCCAAAATATGGGGGAGAACCTCTTCTGAAATGGGGTTTCAGAAGTTAAGTAAAAGCAGGGGAAGATTAGAGTCCTACCTTGAGGAGAAAAAGGAGCAGGTGAAAAAACAAGATTATAGAGAGAGATTCTGTTATTCTGAGGTCTGCTTATGAGGCCTAAAGTGTACCAAGTATATAGTTGTGTCTATATACTTATAGATACATATATACATAAATAGATACATGTATATAAGTATATAGTGTATATATACTATATATGTATATATGTATCTATATACTTATATATGTATCTATATATTATATGTATACAAATGAAGAGCTGCAAAGGGAGAGGTATGTGGGAAGGGGCACAGAGCTTCCAAGCCTTCCCTAGCACAACACCCTCTAGAAACCTCCACAGGTTCAGTTATCTTGGAATTTCTTCAACCCTGTCCCCTTGGGACTTTTATGGAGACTTCATAAAAGGATGGGCACCATTGACTAATATATATATAATGTATCTACAAATACATAATACATTTATATAAAATCATGTAGTGTAATGTGACGATTATGTGTATAATGCAATGGAAAGAGAGTTAGGAAGCATTTTAAAATTAGGTAGTTAATAATAGCTAACTTTACTGTGTCCTAACTACTTAAGTTCTAGGCATTATGCTAAGGGCTTTGCACATACATATTCTTTAAATCTTCTGAACAATTCTATCAGTTAAGCAAATTATTGTAATTATTTCATTAGTAAGGAAACTCAGGCAGAAAGATTAAGTAACTTGTTCAAGGATACACAGCTAAGAAGTGGCAGAGGAGATATTTAACACTTCTGTTTGATTTCAGGTCTGTGTTCTTATGCTGTCCTTGTATAGAGATGACCTCCAGAGAAGGTAAAATTCTTGATCTGAGATTTGAAAACTAATAAACAGTAGTTAGCCATATGAGGGATGAGACATGTACTCTAGAGGGTGGCAGGCAGCATGGGGGAAGTTCCAGAAGCGTTGAGTCTCTAGGAAGTTAATATTTGGGTCTCTAGGCTGTCAGTGGGGGAAGTGAGCAGGGGTAGATAAGGCTCAAAAGCAAGGCAGATAGCCATATTGCAAAAGTCATCATGCATTAAATAAGGAATTGAAAATTCCAGCCATAAAGCTATAGGGACCCAAATAATTACTGTGTGTGTGTGTGTGTGTGTGTGTGTGTGTGTGTGTCTGTGTATGCACATGTTGTGGACAGGGGTGATGATATAACCAGATATGCATGTGGGACAGCTGTGTGGAGGACAGACCAGTAGCATGACCTGTGAGAGACAATTGTAATATTGAGGTGAGGTGGTTAGAGCCTTACGTTTTGGCTGTGGTCTCAGAAGTGGAGAAAAGAAGTATAGATCCAGCCTGTATTGGCTTGTGAGAGCCGATTGTTACATTTCAAGGATTTTTTGAGTTGGTTGTTAAAGTCATCAATGATTAATTAAATTACATACATGTATAATTAAATTAATTATATTAAAAACAAAGGAATAGTCAAAACTCATCATTTCATAATTATTTTTTTATTATCTACTCTTTTGAGGTTATTTACACCTATTTTATCTGTAGATGGAAATACCATATAATATGTGTTCTGCACGTCTCTTCCCAATTCTGTTAGTGGTGTCATGTTGGTAGCTTAAAACTGATAGCAAAAGGAGGCAGAGAAACTCTAGGTAGATGGGGTGGGTCCCTGGCAAAAATCCCACCTTTAAGCTGAAAGCCTGAAACCCACAGCCCAAAGTGAGAACTTCCATTCCTGTGTGCCCTCTCTCTCCCGATTAGATCTTTCTGAATAATATCTTTTTACCAATTGGATGTTGCCTTTTCCAAAACTACCTACAGCCTGTCCCATCCCCATTCTGTGCCCAGAAAGATCCCAGATTCAGCTAGCAGAGGGAAGAAGCAGTTGGATGTCGGGAAGAAGTGCCTGGACATAGAAGAGAGGTGGTTTGACTTCAGGTGAGAGTGATTTTCCATTTTTGTCCCCTTTCCAGCTCCCCTCTCCAATGAGAACCTATGAGGATTATTCCTCCTGCTCTCCTCTTCGTGGTAATGAGATTGTCTTAAAATTAGGTAGTTAATAATAGCTAACTTTACTATGTCCTAAGATTCAATAAAATATTCTTGGCTGGGCATGGTGGCTCACGCCTGTAATCCTAGTACTTTGGGAGGCTGAGGAGGGTGGATTGCCTGAGCTCAGGAGTTTGAGACCAGCCTGCACAAAATGGTGAAACCCCATCTCTACTAAAAATACAAAAATTTAGTCAGATGTGGTGGCGTGTGCCTGTAATCCCAGCTACTCAGGAGGCTGAGACAGAAGAATTGCTTGAACCCGGGCACCAGCAGGTGGAGGTTGCAGTGAGCCGAGATCATACCATTGCACTCCAGCCTGGGTGACAGAGTGGGACTCCATCTCCGAAAAAAAAGATTCTCCACATTTACTATCAATTCATCTGGGCACTCATTCCTCTTGGGCACTGGACAAGAACTAGGGACACACTACTGCAGGTACCCAAAAAGGCTATTGCCCTTGCTGGAAGAAGGCAGCTGCCCCATGTGATGAGGCAAAGGGCTCACTGAGCTGATAACACACTGCTGTCTGTGGACCGTGGAGCTAAGAGAGTATGGTAACATGCTCTCTGTGACCCTGGGATGGCAGGCACCCACATCTGGACATTGCCCTGGGGCCCACATGGAGTTTGTTCCTGCTGGTGCCAAAGTAGCCAGTTCCTACACTCACTTGCTCCAGTTCCTGCACTCATTCGCTTGCATGCTCCCTCCTGTGAGGGGTTGAGCAGGGCAGCTGAGTAAACATGGCACCCCTGTCTTGAGTTCCATGAAGGGGTCAAGAAAATATCTTGCATCAAAATCAGCTGTGGTGGGAGGAACAATCACACCATGAAAATCATCAAGTGTCACCCACCTTTCCCTTTTTCAGAGAACGGCTTATTCATTTACCAGAACATGACTGGATAGTTCTAAGAAATAATTTAAAAGAAAAAATAGATAAAAGCTAATGGCAAATTAGATATTATAGGAATATGAGGAAAAGTCTTGAGTTATCATATTTTTAATTTGAACAACTGAGTAAATGGTGATATTAATTACCAAGGTGAAGGATTATAGGAGGAAAGTTTGGTTTTAGAAGAAAAATAATGAATTAGTTTTGAGCTTGTTGAATTTGAGTAGAGATACTCTGTGGATACTTGGGTGAATAGGTCAAGAGGTAAGAGCATGGAGTTTGGGGTTAAAGATGTAGTTTGGATGCTGTAGCACAAGCAGTTATTCAACCAGCTGAGCAGAGAGCTGGAGCCAGAACCCTGGGGAGTGAAGATCATTAGGCACCATCAGAAGATGGGAAGAGTTAAAGACACAAACAATGAGAGAAAGAAGAGTCACATGAGAAAAAGGAAGTGTTCAGTATCACAGAGAGTTCAAAGCAAACAAGGTCAGGAAATTATCCATCGCCTCTGGAAGTGCGGTGGTTGTTGGAGAGCTCAGAGAGAGCAGTTTTGTTGCAGTGGTGTCGGTGGATGCCAGCCTGTAGTGATTGGAGAGTGAACAAGCAGTGATGAAGCGAAGACAGTGAGTGCAGACCACTCTAAAATCATTTTAAAAATGATTGGCTGTGCAAAGGAGGAGAGTAAGGTGGTGGCTTAAAGGGAATGTGCAGTCACAGGAAATTTTTATTTGTATTTTGGATGTGATCATTCAGATTTCTTTTCTTTCTTTTCTCTACCACCCCCCACCTTTTTTTTTTTTTTAAACAGAGTCTCACTCTGTTGTCCAGGCTGGAGAGCATTGGTGTGATCTTAGCTCACTGCAACCTCCGCCTTCTGAGTTCAAGCGATTCTCCTATCTCAGCCTCCTGAGTAGCTGGGATTATAGGCATGCACCAACACACCCAGTATTTTTTGTATTTTTGTAGAGATGGGGTTTCACCATGTTGGCCAGGCTGGTCTCAAACCCCTGACCTCAAGTGATCCACCTGCTTCAGCCTCCCAAAAGTACTGAGATTACAGGCATGAGCCACCATGCCCAGCACCAGATTTCCCTTCTATGTTGAAGGGAAAAGACAAGTAAATAAGGAAAAATTGAGGATAAAGGGAAAGAGAAGAAATATGGCAAGTATTGATGACCCCCAGTAAACCACAACCTCTGGGCTTCATTTTCATGTGACGTGGGCCTTAATCTTGTGATTTGCTTTGACCAATGTGAAATTAGCAAGCATGTGCCAGCAGAAACTTGGTAAGCGTTTTTGCACATTGCAGTTTGTCCTCTCGGTGGAAGCTATCAGCTGCACTGTACAAAAGCTTGAACCAGACTACTGAATAATGAGGGACTGTGTGGACAGAACCTTGCAGGATAACAGACCCTCCTGGGTGATTCAGCCCCAGATGTGCTCCTAACTCACTGAAGCCAAATGAATAATTTCGATAGAATCAGCAGAAGAATCACACAGTCGAGCCCAATCCAGATAGCAGAATTATGAGCAAATAAAGAGATGTGATTTTAAGCCATTTAATGTGCGGGCATACTGTTTTACAGCAACTGATAACCAAAACAGGGAAAACAGACCAGTTGCCAAATCTATTAGCAAGACAACATTTCATAAAAATTAAAGGCATAGGTTCTGAAGCAGCACGTCATTGGCTTTAATACTTAATTGCATAATTGAGAAAATTATGTAGCCTTTGGGGACTTCAGTTCATTGTCTGTAAAATGGTATGAAGATTAACTGAGATGATACCATCTTAGTAAGCTCTGGATACATATTTACTGGTCTACTATTAAAGCACATGCAAAAGGTTTAACTCCAAAGAGGAGAGACTCGTTATTCTTTAACACAAAAGGGAGGAAAGTTTAACTGTAAGGATGTCTTGAGGCAGGGTTCCAAGGAATAATAACTTATTAAGATGGATTTAGTTATACCTTCCTTATATTTTTTTAGCATTTCACAGATTATAAAGTGTTTTCCTATATACTCTCTCATTTGACTCAATGGAGAAAGGAGGGAGATAACTTTTAAATGTAAAGAAACAGAAGCTAAATTCAAACTATACTACAAGGTTACAGTAATCAAAACAACATGTTACTGGTACCAAAACAGAGATATAGACCAATGGAACAGAACAGAGGCCTCAGAAGCAACACCACACATCTACAACCATGTGATCTTTGACAAACCAGACAAAAGCAATCAATGGGGAAAGGATTCTCTGTTTAATAAATGGTGTTGGGAAAACTGGCTAGTCATATAGAGAAAGCTGAAACTAGACCCCTTCCTTATATCTTATACAAAGCTAACTCCTAATGGATTAAAGATTTAAACACAAGAACTAACACCATAAAAACCCTAGAAGGAAGCCTAGGCAGCGCCATTCAGGACATAGGCATAGGCATGAACTTCATGACTAAAACACCAAAAACAATGGCAACAAAAGTTGACAAATGGCATCTAATTAAACTTAAGAGCCTCTGCACAGCAAAAGAAACAATCATTAGAGTGAACTGGCAACTAACAGATTGGGAAAAAATTTTTGCAATCTACCCATCTGGCAAAGGGCTGATATCCACAATCTACAAAGAACTAAAGCAGATTTACAAGAAAACAAACAAACAAACATATTCAAGAGTGGGTAAAGGATATGAACAGACACTTTTCAAAAGAAGAATATGTGGCCAACAAACATATGAAAAAATGTTCATCATCACTGGTCATTAGAGAAATGCAAATCAAAATCACATTGAGATACCATCTAATACCAGTTAGAATGGTGATCATTAAAAAATCTGGAGACAACAGAAGCTGGAGAGGATGTGGAGAAATAGGAACATTTTTACACTATTGGTGGGAGTGTAAATTAGTTCAACCATTACGGAAGACAGTGTGGTGATTCCTCAAGGATCTAGAAATAGAAATTCCATTTGACCCAGCAATCCCATTACTGGATATATATCCAGAGGACTATAAACCATTCTATTATAAAGACACATGCACACATGTTCGCTGTGGTGCTGTTTACAATAGCAAAGACCTGGAACCAACCCAAATACCCATCAATAATAGACTGGACAAAGAAAATGTGGCACATATACACCATGGAATACTATGCAGTCGTAAAAAACAACGTTTGTGTCCTTTGTAGAGACATGGATAAATCTGGAAACCATCATTCTCAGTAAGCTGACACAGAACAGAAAACAAAACACCACATGCTTTCACTCATATGCAGGTGATGAACAATGAGAACACTTAGGCACAGGGGAGAGAACAACACTCACTGGGCTAGGTGGGGAGTGGAGGGGAAGGGAAGGGAGGGACAGCACAGGGCAGGGAGGATGGGAAGGGATAATACCAGGAGAAATGCCTGACATAGGCTATGGGGCAGGGGTGGGGATGGAGACAGCAAACCACCATGGCACGTGTGTACCTATGCAACAATCTTGCAGGATGCAGGATGTGCACATATACCCCAGAGCCCAAAGTACAATAAAAAAACAAGAATCTAAATTGTTCGGCCGAATGAATGTATAAGGCTTAAGAGGTGAGCAAGAATTAGAAATGCTGAGCTTTGGACTCTGTATTCAATATTCTCCCCAAACAGACTAGTGAACAGGCTACAGACTAGAAGCCAGAAGTTCTGGCTTTGGGCCCTGGCTTTGCCAAGTGCAACATACTACCTTGAACAATTTACTTTCTTTCTCCAAATGTCATCTATAGGCTGGGAATAACATTCCTTCCAATGTCAAAGGTAGCCACTGAAGTGAGGAAGCCCTTTGCAAACTCAGAAGTGCCCTACCCGTACAAATATTTATCATTTTCATTATTGTGCCCACTGCCTCTCATCAGTAATATCGTTAGAGTCATTGGACTACATATGTCTTATATTAAGTGTGATATAAGAGAAAAGAACCTTAGTGTTTCTCCTCCCCTTTTCGATATCTTCCTCCCCTACGTGATTTCAATCTTCCCAGGAGCTAGTTCCACAACATATTTACTTTTAGTTCACTCATTAAACACAAACTCACCTGTCCTATATTTTATACATTTAAATCTTAGATTTTTTGCATGCATCAAAATCATAACAAGGAAATAAGAACATTACTGAATTAGGGCTGGGCACAGTGGCTCATGCCTGTAATCCCACATTGGGAGGCCAAGGCAGGCAGATCACTTGAGGTCAGAAGTTCGAGACCAGCCTGGCCAACATGGTAAAACACCGTCTCTACTAAAAACACAAAAATTAGCCAGATGTAGTGGTTGGAACCTGTAATCCCAGCTACTTGAGAGGCTGAGGCAAGAGAATTGCTTGAACCCAAGAGGTGGAGGTTGCAGTGAGCCAAGATTGTGCCACTGTACTCCAGCTTGGGCAACAGACTGAGACTCCATCTCAAAAAAAAAAAAAAAAAAAAGATTATTCCTGAATTAATGTCTTTCTATTCTCAGGTAAGAGGTATGTTCACATTATTCTTAACCCAAAGGAACTATTGGAATGCTGAGAATTCTGGTGTAGCTGTGTGAAAGACATTTTAAGGCATAGAACAAGTGTAGGGATTGTCATATAACCTCAGAAGGCCACTTGTGCAGGCTTTTTGAGAGCTAACATTTACTGCATGGTCCCTGATTATTACTGAGTCCAAAGATGGAACTATTTTTAAGAGTTTATTTCCATCCTGAAATTGGAAACAAAATTTAAATGCAGAGTATGGTCATGTTATTTAGAATGATCCAAGCAGGAAAACCCTTCAAGTTTCAATTATAAAGAAGATGCCTGTGTTTTATTTTTGAAGGACCTTGTGGGACAATCCAGTATCTAGACTTTAAAACGCCTTGTGTTCTTCTGCCGTGTTCCACATTGTCCTTCAGACTAGTCACTGCACATATTTGTCCCACTGAGCTAACTGTATTTGCCACATATTGATCAAAGATTATTTCATGGCCTTTATCTTCTTATTTTGAGAACTGAGCAAATGTGCTGATTTGTATAAATAAGACAGAATGGAGAACTTTCCTGGGAAATGAGAGATATTTTAAAAACAACTGTCATACTGAAGACTCAGGGAGGCTTAATTAGCTGATGCCTGCAAAACCATGATGTCCTTGCTAAGTATGATGAATACCATTTATTCTTGGATGAGTAAAAAGTCATTTATTTTAAGACATTTGAGTTTGGTGTGCACTGATTACAAAATACAGATTATTTTTGCAGAAATAGAAAAACTCGATGAAAAATGCAAAAATGAGACAAATTTTGGAATACACAGGGTTATTATTCTCAAAGACTTAAATATGCAGCATTGATGTAAAACTAAAAAATATTATATCGCTCAAATGCATGAGCTTATTCAAAGGCAGCTGCATAGTTTAAAGGACAGTTCTCAAACCGGAAGATCTAAGTTCCAGGCGTGAACTGCCTTTTACCAGCTAAGAGACTTTGGTCAAGCCACTGGTTTCTTCATCTGCAAAACAGAAAAAACAATAATACCTTTTCTTATCTATCATCTGGAGTTTTTTGAGATTCAGATGTGATCCTATAGTTATCTGGTAATTTCATCAACTGTAAAAATGAAAAAGATGTTATCATTTCTTTGAAACACTCATAAGGCAGAAAATGGCTTAGTAACCCCAATAACTAATAATTCAGACACTTTAATTCATCCTTTTACTAGAGTCCTTAAGTTCTTTCTTTCTTTCCTTCATCTTACTGTTTCTTTTTGTGGATTTAGATAGGTTAAAAGTGAGGGATGATGGGGAACTGGAAGAAGAGCCATTTCCTTCTGTTAGGAACAGGGTGTCTCATTACCAAACTTTTAGGAGAACATCAACTGGAGTTTTAAAAGATGGCAGACAGCATTTTATAGGTGTGGACTTTCTGGGAACATCCAGCATTTGAACTCCAAATGCCTAGAGTTTTTCTATTGGCTGACCTATGTACCATTAAAATATATCTCCAGATGAATCATTTGTCATGGCAGAAATATATCTCCCATTAAGAGCCAAACACCCACACGTATCAACTCTATGCTAATTCGCATCAGTAGCTGTCTTGAGACAATTTCTTACATTTCTTTAATATATATAAATATTGTGGTAGATATTGCTGTAACTTCTTTGCTATTTCTCCCATTGAGAAGTGGAATCTAATTCTCCTTCCCTTGACTTTAGACTGGGTTTAGTGACTTACTTGGCCAATCAATTGAGATGGAAATGATGTTCTGGGACTTCTGAAGCTGGGTCATAAGCAACCCTGAAACTTTTACCTGGATCTCTTGCAAAACTCATTTTGGGAGCCTTAAGCTACGTTCTAAGAGACTGTCATGTCACAGAGGACACTTCAACAGTTCTACCCATCCCAGCTTTGTATCTGTCCTTGCAAATGTGCAGGCCATGTGAGTGGAGAGATCTTGGGCCACTCTGGATCAGCTTATCTCCTAGCTGAGTACCTCTGAGAGGCCCACCCAAATATCTGACCCACTGGATCTCGAGGCATTATGAAACAGTTGTTTTGGTCACTAAGTTTGTAAGTAGCAATATGTAAATGGCTACAAACATTCAATGTTTTTGTGCGGAATAGCACTCAAGTATACTCATTAGTAGTAGAATCGCTTATGGTTATCAAAGTATTATTTTATTGAAAAAGTACATTTTTATCTTAGACAATTTAATAGTAGCTCATACAATGGCATGCACATTTTCTGAGATTTTACTATATGCCAGGTTCTATGCTAAGCACTTTATCTGTGTACCACCCATGTACTCCCATCTGTCACCCTCACCTCCATTTCACAGAACTACCATCCAGTGAGCGCTTCCCTCTTTACCATTGTGCCCAGTCAGTAGTAAGGAGCACGGAAGCCAAAGGACACCCAGAGGGAGGGCTTTTCAGGGACATTCTTAAAGGTCTGTTTCTGTCTTGCTCAGGAGAAACTAGTCTATTCCTCCTTTTCTATAATGTGTAATTGAGGGATTACTTTAATTATATTTAGAGGATCTCCCAGGCTTATCTTACCCAAGCTTGTGAAATAGCCACCTTTCACCACCTCTTAATTATGCCTTTCAGAGTTTCTCATCGTATCTCATCTTATCGTACCACTCACTAATCTCACTGTGTCTCATTCCAGAGCTCTAGATGGGATGGATCCATCCAGGGAGACAGTTCCCTGTTCTTTGTCTCAGACATTTGCCAGTCCTTCAGAGAGGGTCCACCACTCCCAGCCCTATGTTATCGTGGGAGGAATTATTTTGGCCATATTTATTTTTCTTTGCTCAAGTCCTGCTGTGATATCTATGCTACTATTTTCTCTTTGTCAGAGGAAAGGAATGCGGGATTTTCTCATATTTACATTTATTTATTTCCCTCCACCTTTTGTTGTATTTGGGGTGTAGACATTTGAATAGGGCCAGGATAGATGTGCCACAAAACTAGGAAGCTTGAGTTTCAGGGTCCCTTACTTGTGCAGGCTCCATACAAAGTTCTAAACTTGATTTTGACTCTTCTATTTTTTAAAAAAAAGAAGGTCTGAAACATACGTATAGACTCCTGGCTTCACAAACCCTGAATCTGGAATAGGATGGCTCACCCAGAGTCCTGGCGTGTGTGGTGGTGCAGTAACTTAATAATATCTGAAGGGTTGGCTGCATGTTGTTAGCAGTATGCCAGTATACCTCTTAAAGCCTGGCCCCTGAAATGATCAGATAGATTAATCCTCTTCTTTTTCTGCCTTTAGCTCTTCTCCCTACCCCTTAATTTATTTGTTTATTTACTATCCTGTAATTTCTTTCCCCTGAATGCCTGGTTC